ATAACTCATAAGCAATAATGATTCAAGCCAGACTGTCCTGAAAAAATGTTTTCACTAGGAAATAGCTTTTTTACTCCTCATGCATAGTGTATACTTTACAAATAAATTGCCGCGAAACGCTATAGTGTTCGGGTTTGGCATGAAGAAAAGGTGGCAACCCTACTCCACACAGTATGATGTATATTTTAAACTGACTGAAAATACAAGCAAAAAACATGGAGAAAAAAGTATAGAGAGTAACCTACATCACAACTGAATGATGTCATTAGTGGTTTAGGTTATTCACTTTCTTTCTTAGGCCCCAGAAAACATGGTTGAGCACAATACAAGAGGCCCCAAGTGACATGAGACGGTAGCTGTTTGTTTCTGAAATTACTTAGTATTTTTTGTGACAAAAGTGTTCTTTTATTATCATCTACATCACTGGTATGCTGTGTACCCTAGGTGGCCACCTATAGATCTGGATGTCCAATGGGGACCTGCAGACATCTGAACTCTCCCGGATGTCTCCAGCTATAATATAGCGGCTTCCGGACAACCGGGAGAGAAACATTTTATCCCGGAAAGGTTTACTCTGCTCTATCTAGCAGAGTAAACCTTCCTTTTTTTTATTCTGACATTGGGGCTGTCGACCGCCGTTAGAGAAAAAAAGAAAGCATGGAAATAGCTAGATTGCTATTGGCTATTTCAATTTGCAATAGCCAATAGCAGGCTGACTATTGCACCCGCCCTCTGCTGCTATCAATCAGCAGAGGTGGACCTGAGTGGGGGAGAGAGCACCTCCCTGAAATGAGAAGGGCGCCACCCTGAAATGAGAAGGACGCCTCCCTAAAATGAATTCTATTCAGGTTGGGATGCCTGGACCTGCAATTAATTTTCCAGGATTTCAGGAATATTAAATATGACTTTTACTCACTTTGGCATTGGAAGGCACATGCTTATTTTATTTTCTAATAGTTGGCAACCATCTATTAACAGTTTTCTCTGCATACTATTGTTTAGAGCTGCAGCTAACGATTATTTTCAAAATCGATTAGTTAGCCGATTATTAAGTTCGATTAATCGGTTAATCGGATAAACAATAAAATAAATTTTTTTAAATGGCTCCAGTGATGGACTACTAGTTTGTATTGAGATTGTAGTCCATCACAGGAGCAAGCTTGGAGCGGTGGAAGTAAAGAAAAGGAAAAAAAAAGTGTGGTGTGCAATATAGTGAAATGAAAAATGTAAAATTATACAGCAATTAATGTAGAATGGCACCGCCTATTAAGGACTACAAAACCCAGCAATAGTACATTATACAGTGCAATGCAGAATATCACCAGCTATAGAGGACTACAACAAATCCCAGCAATAGTACATTATAGCTGGCGGTTTTCTGCATTGCACTGTATAATGTATTATTCCTTGATTTGTAGTCCTCTATACAGTGCAGTGCAGAATACCACCAGCTATACAGGAATACAACAAATCCCAGCAATACATTATACATAGAGGTGCCCCCGAAATGGAAATTTTAGAACCGAAACCGAAATTTAAAAAAATGTCAGGCCGAAACCGATACCGAAAATGTTTTTTATTTTTTCAATTTTTTAAAATATTATTTTTTGTCTGACAGCGACGAGCGTGAGGTGGGGAGGAGGTGCGGCGCGCAGCGTGTGTGGAGCCGTGAACAGGGCCAACTGATCGGAAGCCGATTAATCGATTATTGAAAAAGTTGACAACTTTTCCAATAATCGATTATAATCGATTATGTCGATTAGTTGTTGCAGCCCTACTATTGTTTATTTATCAAGTATCAAAAATTCAAAGCATACAAATAAATTATTTAGCACATTAAAATGAAAAAGCAAAAAAAAAAAAACCCACACCTTTACCCAATATATTAAAATATTAACAATGTTGCCTCAGGGGCGTGTGTGCTGGCAGTACAGGTCCGGGGGGAATGTGCAGGTCAGGGGGTGGTGCAGGTCCAGGGGGGAGGAGCACGCACACGGCACATCTGTCTGTCATCCTGGCAAGCTCAAAGATGTCACAGTTTGCCAGGAGTTGGGTTGGTATGTCGGCCAGAACATCCAGAAAGGGTAAAAGGAGACAGCAGGCACATCTCACGTGACCCAATAAGATGTCGCTTGAGGCAACCAGAACAGGCTACAATATTATAGGGATGGCCCTGGTCCCATGACACTAAACCACCCCCTGTTCCTCACTGGGTTCCCAGAAATCGTAGAAAGTAGTAAAGTGCTGCAGTCACTGGGTCTGTATGTGAAAACTACACGGAGATGCGATATCTAAAATCAACATAAACTGTAGAGATTGCATGTATTCTATTCATCGCATAGATACTTAACCAGTCTTAATGTGTGCCTGTAAAGCACAAAGCTGATCAATATGCAGTTCAAAAAAAGCAAATGTTATAACAGCTCAATTTCCACATATAGGTCATAACAGATAGTATCACAGAAGTATCGGAGATATGAATCATAGATACCATAAAGCAACAGGGACCTGGATACTCAAACTGGTGATACATCTGTAGTGCCTAAGTACCTTTATATATGTATCAGTAGATATACTGCGTGTGTCAGTGGACACAGGTAGGCATGGATGATGCATGCAGTATCACTGCTCAACCTGTTTTACCACTCCTCTCCATCTTCACATAGCAGTTTATATAGGGAGATCAACCAGAAACAAAAAATGGAATGGGCATCTACTTAACCTGATGCATTCCACCACATAGAAAATATTTTGATTTTCAACATTATTTTCAGTAGTAGAGGAAAATATATCACTTAGGTGTTAAATCTACTTTAAGTTGTCTGTAAATCTAAAGCCTGATTGTCTCTTTTGTATGAACTATGTTTTAAGTACAGATATACTGTATTTATCTTACTGCTCAACTTGGTTTACCAACGAACCTATAGAAATTAACATAATTAATATAACTTTCTTTATGTCTACCAATTTTATATAAAGTAAAAAAAGTTTATATACAATATCTATCCATCTAAAGTAAAATTGAGTTTTAGTTTTCCCCTTAGTTCCATTGCTAGTATATATACACATACTGTACATACATACATACATACATACATACATACAGTACCTGTACATAATACATACAAACAAATACATACATACATAAATACTAGGGATGCACCGATATATTTTTGGTATTGAGTATGAGTAACAATATTTATCTTTTCGTACTCGCTGATACCAAGTACCGATACCGTTACTTCCGCTAGTATGGAGCTAGTATCCATATCGGTGCCGATACCGATTATTTGGGTGAGTACTCGACTTTGCTAAAATGCTCCGATACTTACCCCCGATACCAGAATTTCCGCTCAGAGGGAGATTTCCTCTGGCCGGAAGTGCTGCAAGGGAACATGGAGCCGACTTCCTGGCCAATCAGCATGGAGCCGGCCAAACAGCATGGAGCCGGCTTCCTGGCGAATCATTAAGCGGGGTGGCGGGTTATGACACGCTGCATGTTCCCTGGCGGCACTGCCGGTCAGAGGAAATCTCCCTCTGACCAGTAATTCAGGTATCGGGGGTAAGTATCAGAGCATTTGCGTAAAACCGAGTACTCGCCCAAATACTCGTATCGGCACCAATATCGATACTAGTTTTCGTAGCGGTGCAACCCTAATAAATACACACAGATAGATACATACATACATACATACATACACACCACACAGATACATACACATACATAAATACATAGAGTCACTAACTTTGTATCCAGACAGTCTGGCTGGCTCTCCTGGCTGCAATCTCTTCATCCTTAGTGTGTCCCCACTCCTGCCAGAAGAAAGCTGTGTGGACAGCAGTACTGAGGAGGAGGGGGTGGGGCACCTTGGGCCGAGCCCTGAGTAAGGCTCTTCGCATTGTACATAGAATCAATATGTCAGGCTGCCCCAGTGGCACTGAGCTCCATACAGTACATCTTATGTACAGGTGAGCAGGGCATACATCGCTCATAAGTACGAATGCAGGGGATGGCAGGCAGACACCAAGGAGTGAACATCCCTGCCCGCAGCGCCCCTAAAAATTTGGCACCCAGAGCAACTGCCCCAATGGCCCCCATATGCTACACCCCTGTGCAGGGAGACTTTTCTGCTTGGAGCTACTTGGTATGGTGCAGGCTTGTGGATTGCATTACCTGCTGATGCCTGTCTCAGCACTCGCCACCACTTTACCAATTATTATTATTATTGTACAGGGTTTATATAGCGCCAACAGTTTGCACAGTGCTTTACAATATGGGTTCTCTCCGCCACTGTAGTGATGCACCTTCCCGTATTCAGTCTACTCAACAAACAGGCATACTCTTGGAAGAAAAACATCAATTTGCAAACAGTAGAGCTACTTCCAAACACCTACTCTAGGCTACTGGTTGTCTTCTCAAATACATAAAGTCTGATGTGATCACAGTGTCAGCCTCTTTCCTTCAGTTCTAATTCAAGTTCAAACCTGTCTTGGATGCCTGAACCGGATAGGTGACAGCAAGCATAGAAATAAAAAGGTATAGCAGGCTTCAGGAGGCTGACACCTGTCCCCTACACCCAATGACCACTCCCCACTCACATTTGAGCAGTTATGTGAAATCTTGCTGCAGTAAACTACAGACAACAGAAGGATTTTCTACTTTAGCAGTTTTAGTTGGTCCACTGATTGATTTCACTTATTTCTCTTCATAAAAAGTGCCTAGTAACCTGTAGCAATCAATCAAGCATCAGACTTCAACAAGGAAAGATGCCATCTGATGGGGGTTACGGGTTGGTGAATGTTGCTTCATTTTACAATGAAACCCATCATTTACTTTATTTGCCATTTTTTACTCAACAGTCGCATTTAAATAGCCTAATCCTTATTTGCAAGAAACAAGCGTAATATAAACACTAATTAAAGAAATAATTAAAGAAATAAGATGATAATCTCTGCCTCATAATAATAATCTCACAAACATGTAATAGTTTTTAACAAACCTCCCAGTCCAGTACTGACGCTTGCCACTGTGCAATTTTGTCAATGTTTTCCAGTCTCCTCTTTCGCTCATTAATCTGTTGGGTGACGTTCCTCATGACAGCAAGAGCAGCCGCCACATACCTGTAATCACTGTGGATACAAAAACAAAATTTATTAAGTAACGAGCAGAAATGTTCAGCTTTTTTCTTTTTGTGCAAACAAAGGTTCTGAAACTACATTGACTGGACTGCTAAAGTTGTAGTTTATGTTGCTACTTGTCAGATCTGCTAATTTTATTTCATTGTGTTTGTACATCACACTGGTTGAAAAGGATACCTGAACAGATGCCAAAAATCCCCTGCTAACGCCTTCAATACTGCCAAGCATTTTGAGCGATACAGGGCTGTGACCTTATTGTTATTGTTTCACGGTGTAGGAGGGGTTAACTGGTCTAAGTGACTTCAACAATCTTCACCTCACTGGTGGTAAGTGGTCGTAACGTCAACCCCCCCAGTGGTCAGTGACAGGCTGTAACCCACTGAACCCCGAGCATTGGTGTTCAGTGTGAGTCTGTAACTTTAACCCCAGCACAAGAAATTTGACCAAAGTTCCTACCCACTATTAAAAACATTAACAAGTTCTGGCTGAAGTTGTGTATTAATGTAAGTTACTGAATGGACAGACCTGCCCAAGTATCAAACTCCAAAATTACAAACCAAAGCTGTGGGTCATGTTCATCCAAACAATGACAGTTCTTCAGCCTGCTCAGCCCTGCACCTGCTTGACCTTTTTTTTCTCTCTCAGAGATGTCAGTCCTGAACTACTACATTGCTGTGGAGGTACTGTAGATCTGACACTGCCATGGAGGAGACCAGTCATACTTAGCATCACTAGGACACTGCAACATGATAACCTGAAAATTCCACTAGCGGTCTGCCTTGAAGATAATTTTCCAGATAGCCAGACGCTGAACATCAGTAATGTTATGGCTGTGATCTCCTTCTTGATCTCTGACCTATGAAGCCTTACCTGCCAAGACAAGCGTTACATGTACCAACAGTGGTAAGCATGAGCTCATCTGAGGCCAAGTAAGGCCAGAGCCAGCCCAATCCAACAACCCATAGCTACATTTGGATAATTTTATAATAGTAGCAAAGTATACAGTAAAAGTACCTAAGCTAACATGGACAACAGAGACCTTTAACAGAGATAGTAAAAATAATTTGTTCTTCCTGCCCAGTGACATCACTTTCCTATGTCAGGCAGTAGATGATGTCGACCTAATAACAGAGAAACTGGCTGATAGGTAAAATGCCAGTCATCTTTGGAAGGAAAGTAGGAGCCTCCAGCTGCTTATCCATCCTACAACAAACCTACAAATGATTCTTCCTGCAAATGAAGGATTGCACTACCATAACATGTAATAAACAGCATCAGGTTATAATCCTTCATTATAAGAGTTGCCATCACAGGGACATAGACACACTTCTCTGGGTCCTAGTGAAAACGTAAACCAGGGCTTGGTGGTATCTTATATTTAACTATTCATACCATACACACAAATAACAATAACAGCAATACAATATAACGTACTATGAGCAATTGAGTTTATGCTTGCTTATTAAAACACCATGATGAAGCATTCCATCGGTGCAATGGGGGAGAATGGAACAAGCATTAGAATACCAGGGTCTCAGCTGGACCTTCTCAGGTGCTATGAGCCTGCACCCTTTACTACCCTGTTGCTTTGCCACTGTATTATTATTGTTATACAGGGGAATATGTGATTCTTCACGTAGCAGTGAATTTAAGGCAGTTATGGTCAGTATCTGCCTTTATAGAAGAAATATTGAGTCAATAAACATCTATTATTTCAGAGGATCAGCAGTCTTACAGAGTGTGTGGGATGTACACAACTCTGTGTGAGTCAACTGAGCTTCAGCTCAAGGCAATCGGCAAATCACAAGTACAGACGTTAATCACTGAAACCAGTTAGGTTTTTGCTCTGAGCTTTGCTTGTTATACTTAAGTTTCAACTATAGGGAATTCCTACAGAGGCTCACTCTTACACATAGTTGATGGCTGGTTGAAGTTGCATATGTCAAGGCGGGCTGTTCTCAAAATCCAGAAAAGTTCAGCATTGTTGGTGGTTGTTGCATTTGACTTTTTATTCTTTATTTTTATTATATATTTTTTTCATTCTCCTTGGGGCAGCTTAAGAGAAAGAATGGGGGTCTATCTAGTAAGATACAGTATAATGGTGCCTTGTAATACAGGTTTGCCACACTGATCAGTTAGATGCCTCCTGTTTTCAAAAACTGCATCTGATGTGCTGTGTGGGAAGACACCGACACATATATTTTCTCTCTCTCTCTCTCTCATATTTCATGCAAATTAACTTGGGAGGAAAGGGTGAATTGGGCATTTCTTCACATGTACATAGTGCATTTTTTACCCAGGAATATATGGTTGTTCAGGTTATAGATTTTAAAAAAAGGACATATATCCTATATTAATAAAGAATCCTGTGGAATTTTTGGGTCACCCATTCTATCTCATTCCTTTATTCTTTTTGGTCAGTCACTGACATTGCATGCAGACATGGGCATGATTGTCCCCACATTGTGATAATAAAAACATGAAAAATGCAATTTTGTAAAAGGTTTAGTAAGATTTCCTTATCCAAAGTCCAGATAACGTCCCATTTTTTCACCTAGACCCTCAGCTTGCTTCCTTACAACTGGTGCAGCAGAGAATGTCCCTGACCATAAAACAACCTGCAGATGGTTTTCTGGGTGTCTACAAATTCATGGTCAGAGGGCGAAGGCAAACTAAGTGATAGGGAGAAGGATGGTGAAGGATTTTAAGCCTAGTGGCTTATGTGACCTATGTAATACACTGACATTAAGTTTTTTTTTTTATCACAGAGGCTACCGCCTAAACAGCAGCTTTACATTTCACATGTTGTAAAATATAGTAACACAGCAGGCATATATAGATAGAATGGTGCTCTTCAATTGCAGTCCATAGAGTGATGTATTCAACAATGAAACAATGCTATTGCTATTGGAAAATGTAGCAGGGAGAATGTCTCCACATAATTGCACAGAGTTCAAAAGCTAAAGAGAGATTTACATCCCCTTTAAAAAAAAGGTTTGATTGTTTCCCTCTCTTAATTCATAATATAAAGATATAAATGAAGGATTTTATAAAATGAGACCAAACAATATTAATGTAACTTGTTTGCGCCTGAAGGCCTTATTAAATTTTAGAATCAATATGGTAACATATAGAGGGATAAATCTAAGTGATGATCAACCAATGTCAGAGCTCTTGCCACTAGATGACACCCAGGAAACTCCAGCACAGCGCTGTTATTTTTAATCTACACATTACTTACTGCTGACAGTTTTGAGACCAAGGATATGTAATACACAACCATTAAGAAGAATGCCCTGTCACAGCCACTAGGTCAGCCAGTTTACAGATTCATCATTTATTACATATGTCCCAACTCATTGATCTTTCTTCCCTAAAGATAAACTGCAAATACAAATAAGTCAATGACAGGAGTGGAGCTTTGGGTTTATACATTGTTCTCACTTTAATACTGACCTACTTTTCTTTGAAATAAAATTCTAATATTTAAAAAACAACTCAGCTTTTAGTGCAGATCATTTAGCAGCCACTGTCCTGGCAGCCTGTACATACCCCTATTTGAAGAGATGAGTGTGTTCCCCTAAATGCAGCTTCTACATTAATCCTGCCATTCTGATGAGGAAGATGCTACCAGGAGCAACTAGAGGGATCTTTGGGCATCAGTCTGAATGGCAGCTCTCTCTAGTGGCTAGTAATCATTGACTAATGTAAAGACATAAATATTAAATATAAAGTGTCCTTTAGAGAACAGTAAAATCACATTCATTTTTTTTTCAGGGCAGCATGAAATTGGGGGGGAAAGTCCAACACCACAGCTGGAAGTGATAAGAAATCTCACTACAGGCAAACAGGAAATAAAACCTGACCGAGGTTCTAATCTTTTCCTACACTACTAAAAATATCTTTTTTTTACTGCTGTGCATCTCCACTGGGGAGATTTCCCTTAATTTCCTGTTTTGTCTGAATCATGTAAATAGACAGGAATTGTGGAGAAATCTCCCCAGCATGGACAGCAATAAAACCTGACTGGGCTTCTAAATCTTCATCAGTTTATCCAAAGTGTAAAAAAAATTGTTCTGGTGAGAATGATATACTAAGGACATAAAACATTTTTTATATAGGTTGATTTTTGGTGGAAGAGCTGAAATATAACGTTAACAAGCAAAAAGATTTAAAGCGGGCCACCTCTTAAATGTTCTTTAGTAGGAGTGACATGTGACAGGAGTGACATGATTTGACAATATAATCCACCTCTAATATAACAAATATGAAAGATCTATAAAAAAAAAAAAAAGAGAGCACTAGCAGACAAAGCATTCGGTGAGAGGCATGTTTACAACTCTATGGTCCCAGCACAGCAGTATCATGAGAAATAGTGTTGCATAAAGTTATTAAAAAAACAGGTTGAAATATATTTTGCTAATTGGCAACAAATGATTTCATGCATTAGCTTAATTTGCTTAAAGGGCAGTTCTTGTAAAAAAAAGAAAAAGCTAGCGCGCTTAGTCAGATTTTATGAGCGCTATTACATGCAACCAAACAGCAATTCGCCAATAAATAAAATACAATCCTGGAAGGTAACCTGATATAACACAAGAAAAGTAATAAAGACAGGACGGACCTCTCACATTGTATCCCCGTTGTCTTGCTTTGTAATAAAGAGAGACAAAAGGTATTGGCTTTAGGAGCCAGCAGAGAAGGGTAATCCATCTTCTCAAAGAGATACTGCAGCCAAGTTATTGATTTCAGCCTTATGTATTCATTTTACTCCTCTGGACATCAAAGCTCGTTAATTAGAAGAATGCATTGGGATAGATGCCATTGGTGTATGATTAACTATCAGCCAACACAGCCCTCTAATAAGTGGCAGACAGTCAGAAAAGACCACACTGAAGGCTATGGTAATAAGGGTGAAGGAACCCCATTTGTGAGGAACAAATCAAACATCATTTAAGGTGAATTGCAGTTATCTGGTTGTACAAAGTATCGACATTTTAGCTATCTGGGTATAAAAAGTAATAAAGTAACACGTGAAGCTGCAGAATGCTAAAAAGTAAATAGGTTAAACGTAAAGCTACGAAATGCATTTCTTCAGAACAGCTTTAAAGCCAGTTTTCGTTTGGTCATGAATAGTACCTGTGGTCCTGTGCTGTGTATTTTAGTAGCTCAGCCAGCTGAAGCGGGTACTTGCAGATCTTCTGCACAGGTGTCAGAAGGAACCCATCGATGGCAATGTCAATCATTTGCTGCAGTAGTCGGCACGCTTCAAAGAAATGCTGGTACCTGCCGTCCTTCATCAGCTTGGAGAGCTCCATGCAGGCGTCCAAATGATTATTACAGTACTCTGAGTATATCCAGAATCCATCTTGCTGCAGGAGTAATAAAGAGTAGAGATGGATAGACACAGATCAGAACCAATTCTAACTTCAGTCATTAATCTAAACAATCACCATCAAATTATTATCAATCATAATAACATAAAAAATATGGATATGTCTGCCTGAATAAACTATTTCGATACTACACCCTTATTCAATTTTAAACATTTCACTTCAAAGTGTATTTCTAGCCAGAACGTTCCCTAGTTTCGAATAAACTTTTTTCTGTCTTGCTGTCTTTCTATAATCTGAAATATGCTTATGACTGACTATGCAGTTATAGTTGAAATAGTGAGGCCTGTGACGTGGTATGTGCATATAAAAAATGAAATATATAATTAATGTATTTGGATAGTTTCAAAAATGTTTCCATGTACAGTATGTAAATATATATGTGCATGGGCCAGGCATTTTTATTTATAACATTTTCAAGCTGTGCTTTCTGCTCAGTAATGCTGCATAATGGCTGTGGTTTGCTGCTCATCTGTCTCTTTGCAAATTAGCTCAGGCTGAAAACACATGGCTTTCTAAGGGCCCATGCTTTATTAGCTACTGTATACTGATAGCATCCCTACAGAAAAGCTGCTGGAATAAATGGGTCGCCACAAGAGGAAGTAACAACAAATCTCAATATAGTATCTTGCAATAATTTTTAGAATTCTATAATTTAAATCGAACCCAATATACACTTTTTATTTTATTTTATTTGGAGTGGAGCATGGTTTGTGTCCTGCTCTCTGTGACCCCATCGGGTTGATCTCTCCCACATCTAGTCCTACAATGAGAAAGGCTTTGCTGTTATCTGAACGTCCTGCTTTCCTCTCTGATATACAGTATATTCCCATGGAGAATCTGCCACACACAGCTGGTGGCACAGAAATGCTGAAAGCATGCTTCAGCAGTTCCTTGTCATCAGTCTGCTTACTATGTCACCATAGAAATATATAGAAAATACAATCCATAAGAACAAGAATGTTTGGCTCACAGTTCCAGCTGTCACAGCAGGACTTATACTTAGCTGACATCTTCCCACTGGGGTCACATGCAGCCAAAGTACTTGACAGTGGATTAAACTATGCCTTACTCCATTCAAAACTGGAAGCAGTTACTGTACTGAATATCCACTTTATATTACAGATAGGAAGGGTGAAGGTAGCAGCAGGATTTTGTAGGAAGCCCAGGCAGCTTTGCATACATGTAGGTTCAGGGGCAGCCACATATCCACAGGGTGGATTCTTGGTCACTGGATGAAGGGGCTGTGCACAGGGCCAGATTAACATAGGGGCTACTGCAGTGCCACCTCCAGGCCCACCACTGAAAATAGGCCCGGCCATCCCTGGATCGCCTTGGTATACCCGATGGCAATCTGGGCCCGCATGAACACAATCAGGCAGAGGTGCCAGCAGCTCTCTAATCAGGCATATTAGGTGGCCACTCCTTGGGGCAATACATTATACAGCAATGCAGAATAATAGTTTATAATTTTCTGCATACTCTGTGCTGCCGCTCTGCTCTGGGATGTCGGCGTGATATCTCAGGCAGAGGGTCTCGGCAGGGCTGTGGAGGGTTTCAGGAGGACATGAAGGGTCTCAGGAGGGGTGCGGAGGGTTTCAGGAGGATTGCGGAAGGTTTCAGGAGGGGCAGATGTGCGGGCCGATGGTGTAAACAGATGCCGTGTGGTTCCCCAGAAGGTTGCCGTGAGGTCCCCATCAAGCACGGGACCTTACGGCAGCCACTTCAATCTACAGATTTCAAGCACCAGACCATGCAAGCATGCCTCCTTGGGCTGATCCAGCCTTGGGCCCTGGTGCATAGCAGCTGATAGTAGCTGTATTAGTGCTGATCTATAGTCAGTAATATATTTATTTCAGGTGTAATACAGCGATCATGAGTCATTTGATTATGCAGTGAGTGGATGTAGTAAGTACAGTTAGGTTCTCTGGAATGAGAGTGGTTGCAGAGATCTCACCTTCTTCCCTGTTGGAAGCTCACCGGTGAAGTTATACAAAGACCAGGACAAGACAGCGGATCAGCTGAGCCATACATATGCACCAACATCCTGATTATGTATTCATATCAGCCCCGCTTGTTGCGGGCTCAGCCTGGCTATCCTCATACAGGACCCCATTATGGACACAACATTACCCCAATAATGTCACCTGACAGCAGCTGCTGCACACTTGGCCTGTCTGCACCTTTATTCCTTATAGCATGGAATAGAAAGGCAGCCACCTACCTGTTTCCGTAATAATGTTCCTGAGGTTACCAGGAAAGCATGGGACACCAAGGAGTGAATTGTTGTTGGTGTGTACGCAGTGCTCCACTACCGGTATGAGAGAGCAGCTTTGCTCTTCGTGTTTAATAGCTTGGCTCTACATGGTTCCCAGAAGGCTGCTGAGGTCCCCAGCCAGTGCTGCTTATGGCTGCTGCTTCAATAAAAAAATTTAAAAAATGTAAAGCGCCGGACCATGCCTTCTCCAATAGGGGAGGGGGGTGGCAGGGACCAGATCTCAGTTGCCCCCCCCCCCCTTCCCCAGCCTCGGGGTCTGGTGTAGCTGAACTGGCAGTATGTCCGCCCCTGTGCTACTATGACTTTTACCCTCAGCTCTTTTGCTGCCTGTCCTTGATACATACTTCATGTTAAGATCAATAATTTCCACAGGTGATTCTGCCAGCCGCTACAGAGAGAGTTAGGCAGGGGGCCTCAAAGTTTTGCTATGGGGCCCCATGAGTTGAAGTTAAGTCCCTGAGAGAGGAAGTGGTTTGTAGTCTAAACTAAGGAGAGCAGCCTAGGGTGACAATGGTGTTCCTTCATAGATACAGTACCGTGTGTGTGTTGTCACCCTAGGAAAGGTAGTGTGTTACTGGCAGGATTAGCAGGGGAAAATAAAGGATAAAATGCCTGAATGAAAGTAAAAACAATGCAACGACCACATCTTAAGGCTGTTAAGCTGCAATATTTTAGATTTTTCTTATTGGGTTAGGATACACTTTAAAGCTGAACCCCAGGCAAATATAAAATTAATACCAAATAATGCAGTTATGTATTCATTTACAAATATTTAAATGTTTTTTTAATGAAACTAGGGTAAGTACCAGAATTTGACTTGCTACTAGCCTAACGCAATCTCTGTACAGGCTGAAAAAGGAGGCATAGTACTAGGGCCAATTAGGAGTGCCGCAGTGTACATATGGTGTGAAGAAACATTCTCACGGCAGGAGATCAGCAGAGAGTGACTATTGCTGATCTTTCACTGTCCATTCACAGGTTGGGGGCAGGAGGGTGACAAGGCTTTATTGCTCAAAAAGCAGCGGAGGAATGTCAGGTCACCAGAGAGGCTCTGTTGTGTGGCAGGGTTGTGTAAATCTCGGAAATGGGTGGACAGAAACACAAATCCTTTGTCAGGAAAAACAGGCCCCATATATGTATTTTAACGCTGTATTTAGCTGTTTACCTGGAGCTCAGTTTTATTTATTATTATTTGTGAAAAAGAAGGAATTACTTAATTAATTAACACATTAACATACTCAACAGTTCAGTAGAATGTGTCCATGATTGCCATAATTAATATAATCAGATACATTTAATTTTTTCAGTCTTATCTCACTTGGCACCAGGTAAAAGTTTGAATCCAATAGCGTTTAAACTGATATATTGTCCCAGTAGTAATCATAAAGAGTCAGCAAGATCATTTCCTTGTAGTTCTGCCCTTCAAAAACACAGTAAACCCCTCTCATTCCTCTAAACAAATAAATAGGAAATGGGTCACTTGTTCAAAGCAAAATAGCTCAGGCTTTCAATGATATTAAGGAGAATGATCTATCTTTCCACCATCAGCTAATACCTCATAATGAGGCACATTGATTAAATGTAAATGGCTTGACCTGTCCAGTCCCTGCCTGCCGGTATTCTCGCCCCAGCATATGCAACCTGTCTCATCAGAATGAAAAATGAGACATAATGATCCTTCATTAAGAACTATTGCCACTTTTTGCTCAATTTATTCTTATTTCATCTCTGCATATTATTGCCTTCACCATGCCTAGGAAATGATGATAATGTCTTGTAAGTGTAAGTACATTTGACTACCATGTAGCCAGACATTGCTATCATAAACATTGTATAGAGAGGGGAATTCCTGTCTGGAACAGGACTGATGCAGAATTCTGAACGGAGTTTGCGCATGTTCCCGTACAGCCATTCCAAATCCATCTTCAATGAGCTGCCAGTGTTGAATGGATGAATCTCTTAGCTAGATATATTGACCTGGGTGTGACAGGGAAATAATCTGCTGTGACATTCTGTACATAGACATCACTCTCCAGCAAATAAATAGGAAGAGTGTAATTGTGGGCATAGTGTTCTGTTTAGGCTTTTCTTCTTTTTTTTTTCTTTCTCCGTATCTCTATAGGTTGGACTCAATGGACTTGTGTCTTTTTTCAACCTGACTAACTATGTAACTATGTAACTATATATAAATAAATCCAAAGATATACAGTAACAATCCATGTATGAATATGCCACTTGCATTCTACCGGTAGCGTTTTCTGCGCGGTTTTCCAATCCGATACGAAACCGTGCATACATTAACATATGTGTGAATTCCACATGTTTGCGGCTTATACTATAGCCATATTGTGCGGAATCCGCTCATAAAAATCGCACTTGAACTATATTGCGGGACGTACCGTGCGACCGATGCAATAGTCTGATCAATGCACATTGCAATGCATTGTTTTTTATGTTTAGCGCGGTTCTGTGCATATTCGTATGGCTGAATACGTACAGAAAACAGCTCATGTGTGAATGGAGCCTTATTACCTCAAGATAAATATCAGAAGTGTTATTATGCAAAGAAAATACTGGACAATATTTTATTGACTGAAATGTAAGTATAATGTTAATATTATTATTAGGGAAGCTGGGCAACGATTTATTACACGCTTTCTGGCTTTCTGATTGGCTGGGAAGCCGGCTCCATGCTCCTTGT